GTATAAGAGACAGATACACGTACTGTACGTTATTGTTTGATTTTTTTAAAGTTGTTCAACTGACCTCGTGTGATTGAACTTCATTAATACTTTTTAGATCTACATCGAGTTGATAAGCCGCGTTGATTGTTCTTTTCTTGACATGTACCGGACATGTACTCAACCACAATGCATACCTGATTTGCCAGACAGAGGGAAAAGGATAGGTTTTCAATGTAGTCCCTAAGCTTCGTACCACGGTACAATGCACTATAAATACTTTGAAAACCCTAGTTTAAAGCTTGTTTAAATATCTGTCTCTTATACACATCTAGATGTGTATAAGAGCAATAAGTTATTGAGTATGAATAATAAAAAGGATGTATGTACTGTAATAAAGGCGAATGCCCCGCTGAAAATTTCATGTCTATAAACAAACAAAATAGTAAGAAATATATATGCAAATATATAGGAAAATGGGAGAAACCATAATACAACAAACGGCCACATCATGCAAAACAGTTTAAAATTAAAACAGAACAGTAGAGAAAATCCGATCAGAATGACAAAATAAACTAAGTATCCACTGGAAGAAATCCGAATATTTGCAGACGGATCCGTTTCAGCCTTCCATGCCTCATCAGTGCAGCTAGGGTACAGACCCAGACAAAACGTTCTACCAGCTTAGGCAGGACCCAGACTAGACCCACGACCACTAATGATTACAAAGCCAAACCAAGCCAATATATACAGTATACACAGCCCTGGTGTGAATGCAAATGTGGAACACAAGCTATGCGGCTCGGTTCCTACAGACAGCACTAGTCCGTGAGTCCGTGATCAGAGATCTAATGATGCAATCTCTACCATGCATTAATGGTGACCCGCTGGATTTCAATAGAGATTCTTTAATAGTAATAAAAATTTAAATAGGCAAGTGGGAAATACATACATACACACATATAACAATGACTAATTATTATTATTAATTGGAGTTGAATAGCTTGTGGTTAAGATGCTTGCCTTCCAATCCCAGGGTCCTGGGTTTAATTCCTGCCAGTTGCAGGGTTTTTTCTCACGACATAAACAACCCCACTCCCTAAATCTCATATTGAGATTTAGTTTGTGTAAAGCATCGTGTGTGTATGTTTGTCTTGTGTAAGGGATTATCACCTACAAGTAGGACAGTGATATATATTCGCTATTGGCAATCCTTGGCACATGTGTTGTGTGCCTAAAGGAAGAAGAAGAAGAAGAAGAAGAAGAAGAAGAAGAAGAAGAAGAAGAAGAAGAAGGAAGAAGAAGAAAAAGAAGAAGAATATATATATAGTAAATATTTTGATATAATTCATGAATTGCTTCACTGCAAGAATACGATTTTTCCCCAAAACAAAAGAGACATCAAGTTTAGCTTCCAAAAGGAGAAATTAACATGTTTCACTAGCCGCATGCGATAGTTCCTGATTTGCACGTAATCCCCTCGCGTTGCAATCACCTAGCTTCACCATAACAACAACAAAGATGGCGCCGCCCTCGCTCGGGCTCAAATATAATAGTTCTCCAAAGAAAGCAAATTTTCAGTGTCTGTTTAACAATCCAGGAACCGCTTTGTATGTTTTGATTTAATTCAAGGTTACAGTATTTTCTTCTTTCAGATATAAAATCCGTTCCGTGTTGCATTGCTCTACAAAATTACTTTCGAATATATATTTCTAAAGCAATTGGAAATAATACACGTACTGTACGTTATTGTTTGATTTTTTTAAAGTTGTTCAACTGACCTCGTGTGATTGAACTTCATTAATACTTTTTAGATCTACATCGAGTTGATAAGCCGCGTTGATTGTTCTTTTCTTGACATGTACCGGACATGTACTCAACCACAATGCATACCTGATTTGCCAGACAGAGGGAAAAGGATAGGTTTTCAATGTAGTCCCTAAGCTTCGTACCACGGTACAATGCACTATAAATACTTTGAAAACCCTAGTTTAAAGCTTGTTTAAATATTTTGTACAAGATTTTGAATTAATTCATAAATACGCTTTCGATTTACTTCACTGCAAAGAACTGAAGACGTGTTATAGTCTGACTCTGTGACTATTTTACTATTTTTTAAAACTACTTGATAATTTATTCAGAAATCACATAAATAAGCATACGAGTACTAACAAACTTATTATTATCTGGTAGTTTTAATTCATCTAGTTGGGCTTCTGAGTTTGTGAATTGGGTCAATTTTTTTCAATGGTCTTATTTTCTTACGTCCGAAAAGTTCTTATTTGTCGCAGTCTTTTTCTAAACAGCCATCAAATAGGCGGCTGAACAGTTTAAGAGTGATGGATTCAAAGTCAAAGTAACAAATTTATTTATTTAAATAAACTAAATTTACTTTAAATCCATCACTCTCAAACTGTTCAATCGCCTGTTTAATTGCTGTTAAGAAAAATATATTTTTTTTTAATTAAAAGTTTATTACATAAGGACTAATGAAATCGAAGCAGGCCCATCATGAATGGGGGCAAGGACACCAGAAAGGTTCTGTAAAAAGAAGACTTAATGTTGTGGTACAGTAATTTGGATGGGTCGGGGGAGCCCTCCCTGGAAGGTTTTATTTTGTAGATGCTTAGAAATGCACGTTCATGCATTCGGTGTGGTCTGATAGTGACTTTAAACTTCCTTAAACTTTAAAACAGGTTCGATGGAACATGAAGTTGTTATAGCCACTATAAAAAATCCCTTAATGGAAGAAGGCGAAATACCTACGGGCTCATAACCGCCTAAATGGAAGGTGCATCGCCTTTAATAGAGGCCATATTATTAATAAATGCAAAAAACAGTGCAACCAGATTAATGATTAATGACAATAAAAAGAGTTGGCAAAGCTAATGTTATGACATCACATCATATAATGCAATCTGACGCCATTTCACACATCAACGAGGTTTGGTTGTATGGCCGCAGGCAATTCGCTAAATGTGAAAGGCGAGTTGCGTATGAACACAGGCTATGATGCAGGACAGTGTTGCCTATGTTTGTATATATAGGATCTGTGCCTTACGGTTAACTAGTGTAAAGCTACGTTCACATCTAGCACGATCCCGGTCCGGCGACGTATCTGTGCATGATCGATGTAAGTAACGACGCTAGTACTTTTAGTTTTTGCCAATTCTCGACTTTGTCCAATGAATATCGTACGAATTTTATGTGAACGGTCCTATTCTTTACCACTGAACCCATTTTCACGATTTTTCCGGGCACTGGACCAGATCCGGGCTTTGATTTAAAAAAAAAAAGAAAAGTAAAAGTAGGAGAATATCCCATAACTTGCAGCGTCATGGTGCTGAATTGCGTATGACTATACTAGCAGTCGTAAAGAGGCGCTTCACGGTACAGTAGCTACATGTTCACATCATTCCACAACGACAGGGGGCTGAGATGAACCACAACATCGGGTCCTACTCTTCCGAAATGATCGAACACCAAAAAAATATTTTTGGTGTATTTGGAGCGAAACCATAAAGAGTAATTTAATAGACAATTCGTGGTACACAATTTTTACGAGTTTGTGCTTTAGTAATTCGCGAATTTAAAATACAAAAAAAAATTGAACAGTAAAGCATTTAAAATTCCTAGTAAAAATTTATAATCAATAATTAAAAATATTAAGATGAAAAATCGAGCCCCGGGGACGCAAATCCGACTCTGGAAACTAAGGGTGCCTCTATTTCGTGGTGTTCGATCATTTCGGCCGCGCCAAATGTATGGAACGCCAAAGGGACCACCGAATACACAACAGCCGCTAATGAGAAGAACGTAGTCATAGAACAGCTGGATACGTCAATAACAAAAAAGGAAAATATGTAAGCCTAGGCCTAGAGTGAATAATTAAGAATTTATTTACCGGTATAAAAACATAACGTACTATTAAAACAAGAATTTTAAATCTAGGCCTATATTTGTTTAAAGATACAGTAAATCATTATTATTATCCCCGAAACTTAGAAATTACCGGGTTGGTGTCCGGCGGGGTATAGTTTCATTGGTAGTTAAAATATTATGTTTTTGTTGTTTTCTTTAACTCATTTTGTTTTCAATAATTTTTTTCTTTTCTAACTATGTATGGTTTTGGACGGACTTCACGGATGAAAAAACACTCATGGGTGGTTCAAGTGTCTCCGTGTTTTGCATAAAGTATATTATTGCTATTATTATAGAATGTGTGTTAATAATATAATATAGGCGCCCTATGACAAATAAGTAATTATTATGTATTGTTAGTTTTATTGTACATCCTCCGGTATGTTTTATGTATAATGTGAAAATGTTTGATGTTGGTACGTTAGATTTATTTTTCTAGCAATACTACGGTAATAAATAAAAATGTGATGTAAAAAATATGTGGCTGTATAGTATACAACTTTGTTTCGTCACTTCTTGAAATATGTTTAAATTTTTTATTTGTTTTCAATGTTGAGAATTGGTGAATAAATCTTGCGCCTTGTGTTTAACCATTTCCGATATGTTTTATGTACAACGTGATTTTCTAATTAAATACATTTGTTGATTTCATTTGATGGTTAATAATTACTTATATATATATATATATATTTCATCACTTGTAGATGTTTGAATTGATATATTTTTCTTCCGTAATGAAAATAAATAATAGTGTTAAAAATCGTCTTGTTTCTTGTTTGTTTGTGCTTTTTAATGTTTGGTCGAATAAATGAAAGATGAAATTTATAGCTTTAATATCGTCCGGGAAGTTACGGTCGACTGAATAAATGAAAGATGAAATTTAAGTTTTTTACAATTTTTTATTACGCCCGCCGCTGCATTGAAATCTCCAAAAATATTTGCATATTTCTTCCTTAGGCCTATACTGTGAATTTAAAGAATTTAACCATCTCAGATATGTTTTATGTACATAATTTTCTAATTATATACATTTAAAGCATTTATCCATTCCATTACTACACTGTTTACCAATAAAACAAGATACAAAAGATACATGGTGTTATATTTTTTATTGTACAATATGTGAAAAATGTTACTAAAATCAGTGCATAAGGACCAACAACGACCTGGAATGTTGTCATTACCGCCTACAGAGGAAGACGGGGTAAGATATTTAAATAAAACTGTTACTTTTAACTATGCTAACACTGTGAAACTAACTACCAAAATGCATCATAACCTATTTACATATGAAAACATGAATGAATGTAGCCTTACAAAAGAACTAAACAGATGAAAAGACACCATTGTTGTCATATTCGTTTCCTTTGTTCTAAGAGTACTATCATTCAAATGAGTGCATTAAGTTGAAGACAACACCCATAAAGTATTGTCTAAAAAGAACGGACTTATAATATATAAATGAAATGATTGAAATATTATTATACATACAGTACATAATTCCTTATAATTTGATATTTAAATCCTATATGATATTTATGAAAATTTGCTTATTTTTGTATTTATTATGTAAGTTTCAGTATATAGTTAAATATTTACAGTGATTGTTACAACTTTAGTATCAATAAAAAAAGACTATACCAGTTTAAGTTTTGCTATTTTTTGCGAGACTTGTGTGAGGTGTTTCAATTTACAATACATATACTGTACCGCCATAATTAATATCACGAAATATATATATATAACAATACAAAACATATAATTAACCATCAATCAAACTAGTTTGAGGCAAAATATATTTTCCCTCATCGTCTACTTGTAAAGAACAAATTAAAATCATTATGATAAATCAGTTTCTGCACTCATATAATTGTTACAATAATTCATAACAACGAGCATCCGTTTATAACATTCCAAAGATAAAAAAAAGTACAAAATTACATTATAGTGACACAACTCATTACTGTACGACTATCATCAGTTAAAATTAACTACAACTAGGCCTTTTTTCTACAGAAAAATACAGTAGGCCTAGTATAAAATGTGAATAATTACGGTATCATTAGGCGTTATTATATTTATTAACACAAAAATAAATATATACCTAATGAAAAACACGGAGGTATAAGCATGCATTAGATACAAATATGTAGGCCTATGCCTAAGTTAAATAAAAAAACGGCAAGATTACTATTTGCCTACGCTTCCGCATCCTGCAACAACCACACTACCAATGGAACTCTATTGGCGCGCCATACTTTCTATTGTTAAAAATCTGGCGGCCGAAATGAGCGGCGGCCGAAATGATCTGAGCCCAAATATTTCACTATATTGTTAAAACTATTTATAAACTTATTTCACTATTATGTTTGTTTTGTTAAGTAAGTTACTTGATGAACTAACGTTTTTTCAAACACCATCAAATTCTGAAAATTTGAACTAATTTCGAAAAATAGGGCGCCCTCTCCTAGGCGAAATTCGACACGATTTTTCCAGTGGCTTTCCTACTCTGTGTGGTGAACCAGTGTAACACTTTACTACTCTTGAAAAACATAGTATTGTTTTCCAGAATTTTAGGTAGCATGCTATGAGACAGACTAAACACATTTTCAATATTGTTTTCATTCATACAGTACGTAGATATATCCTTTGTGAACATTTTGAAGAAAGAATATTCTGATAGGGTGATACCACCCTCCGTTAAGTATTTATGATTATTTAAGCATACCTCGATAGTTTAATTAAATAACACGACCTCCGGAAATATATCCGAAACGCTATGTTATTTCTGTTGGCTACACTTTGCTGCTCAGTACTGTTTGTCATCCATCGAACTTGTCTACCGCAGCGTGAAAAATGTGTATCCACTGCCTTGTATGTAACGACGTAAAACGTATTGTTATTTCGTATCAATAAAATAAATATAATATCAATAAATAAATAACTTACATCATCGTAATCTGGCGCCAATTCATCATAAAAATGAACCATTTTCTCTTCAGTGTCATGGTAAGCATGAGTTTTTGAGATTACTTTCTTACTTTCTGTATTTAAAGCTTTACCAGTTGCCATTTTCAAAACAAAACCCGCCCTCGATAAACTAAAGCGGCGATCTTCTGACCTGTGCGTTACCAGGCTTATACCCACGTTCCTATTAAAAACCCATTTAGCACACAGTTGCTTTCAAGGTGATTGGGAGTGTTTGTCATAAAGCTTGACCAATAAACGCGTAGTTGAAATCGTGACGTTGCCATCTCTGGTAAGGGAGCAGTGACCGGAAATCTGTGACGTAGTGTCACTCTCATCGGCCAATGAACGCAAAGTTGAAATCAGTACTCGACATCTCTTTAATTACGAGATGTTACATAATACACGATGGCGTGTATTTGATTGCTTCATAGAGAAAATCGAAAACAGTTAACGATACGTCAATTGATAATTGTCTTTGGAAAAATCCTCGGTATAAATCATAACGTATGGGCCTACAGTAACTCCAATGACAGGATTATTCTCTGATTTATATCAAACTCAAAATCAGTTTTCAAATACCAAATTTAATTTAATAAAGTGGAATAGAAAGAGGGAAAAAAATGTTAAAATTGAAAAATTTTCATGTAAATTAAAATCACAAATGTCCTAGTACATGTAACGTGTCATTGCATGAAAAAAAATCCATTTCAGGCTTTCTTGGGTGATCCATAGTTCAAGCAAGTGCTGCTATATAATTAAAAGCAAAATTAGAAAGCAAGAATACATGTTTCCTATGATAGTTAATTCATACCCATTTTATATCAACATGAATTTAAGAACTTTCTATTATTAACCATTTTTCCTGGTAAATGAACATAAACTATCTGAAGCGGAAAAAATACGACTTTATTTTATCCAACATACTTCAATAATTAATTGATAGCAATAGAATCACGTACGAAATGTTAAACTAGTACTTTTCTTACTACAGTATATAAATAATTACACGACAACAGTTGCGACAAAAGTTATACAAACCAGGAACACGAAATATTTTAACCAGTAATTTTACGACAAGAATTCATTTTGCTTCAAATTGCACTGGTTTATAATAAGACCCTTCATAAGTATATTATTATTATGTATTCCATATACCGGTACAAATGCTCAGAGGCTAACACTGCAGCTAACTTACCCGGCTTATCGACAACTTGAAAACGAAATTCAGTTATTAATAATAAGGGAACACTTTTCTGCGAAATGAGGGGAAATATATCCTTTAACACTACGGCCAAACCTTGTTACGGGGACGCCCTTAATATTATGTGGAGTGTGTCAGATTGGTGCAACCTCTATTAGTGAGGGGGAACAATTGTTTAACATATCCCCAAAAACGACAAAAATGTAGCTATAATCTATATACAAATGGTTATTACACTTAAAAAATATTTGCCCTTCAATGCAGAAAAATGTGAGGGGTGGGTGCAAAAACTTTATGTTCCTGAAATTTATAGCAATGTATGTAATCGAGACTGTCTCACAATTATTTTACGAAAGTACTCATCCAACAGAATAACACAATCAACATTACGTAACGTAACGAATCGGTCTTATGGTGATATCACACTGTTATTCAAACAGCAATTTTAGACAATGGTAGGCTCACCTCCGGGGAAAAATCACAAAAGAAAAGTCATCAAACGAATTTTTAATTTGTATTAAATACCTGTATTTGTAAAATGCTGTCCCTACTAACTAGGTGCTGGAGAGCACGAAATAAACATTTTTTAAACGCTTTACACAAGGTTTTCTATTAATCAGTTAATCATTACATGATAACCTCTTAAAAATAGTAACGTTGATGATGAATTTAAACAAAAAATAAGATGAAATTTTTCATCAAAAAAGTGCAAATTTTTTACAGTGAAAAAGATTATTTTATTTAAGTAATGGTTTATTAGTTTTAGGCCTATATTTTAATCAATATCATATTATTCTGAAGTATAGTTTCCCATTACTCTACCCATCGTATACCACAATGGTATCACCAAAACTAAGACATTTGCCTGAGAGATTTTAAAGAAAACTCCCTATTAAGGGGATACCTAAATAGTGATAGCCATATGCAGGTGACACCCCTATTTAGGGGACACTTTTGGTCAAGATGGTGCCCCTTAATAAGGGACACTTTTTTGGTCAAGATGGTGCCCCTTAATAAGGGGACACTTTTTTGGTCAAGATGGTGCCCCTTAATAAGGGTTCGGCTACCTAGGGGCTATGTGCTCTGTCTCTGTCTGTCATATTATTCCTGTGCTATCCATTTTAAATGATGTGCTATCCATTTGAAAGTCTGTGCTACCCATTTGAAAGACTGAGGCTTTCCATTTACAAGACTGCGCTACCCATTTGAAAAACTGCGATACCAATTTGAAAAACGGCGAGACATATTTTGTAAAACTGTGCTACCCATTTGAAAGTATGTGCTACCCATTTGTAAGACTGTGCTACCCATTTGTAAGACTGTGCTACCCATTTACAAGAAAGTGCGATACCTATTTTGGAAAACTGTACTACCCATTCCAAAGTCTGTGCTAACCATTTTAAAGACTGTGCTATCAATTTACAAGACTGAGCTACACATTTGAAAAACTGCGATACCAACTGTGCTACCCATTTGAAAGTCTGTGCTACCCATTTGTAAG